GCCACGCCTAAATCTTCGAGACTTTCATCAGTTCCTTTAGCTGCTACCACACTTGACCCTCCACCATCACTCTACATTCGTTCCTTTAGGCCTAAAGGTACTGGGGTACTTAATTTGTCCTACTTCTTACGAAACTATTGGGATGCTAAATACAATTTATTATGTGCTTTCTGTGTGTCAAACATGGTAAAAATATTTTCTCCAATCTTGCTTAATTATCTGAAAAGTTTTTTGAGTTATGTGTCAGGAAACTAATTTTAGGAATGAAACAATGGTACCTCAGAGACATTGAGTGTTTCTCCTCAAGGTTATACAACTAGAAAATGGCAAAGTTAGGATCTAAACTCAGGCCTGCTTGACCCCAGAGCTGTTCTCATCACTATGCTACACTGCCTTCCTATACCATGTCTTTACCTCTACATCTTCTTGACAGCCCAATACTGGCTTTGGACTCAGTCTTCAGTTCAAATCTCCATTTTGCAATTCTACTTGTGGAATTGTGGGTAAATCATTTCTTTTCTAGTCCAAGATATGCCATGGGGAATTAAAGGATGAACTTGACATTTCTTCCCACCTGAATCTCAGTTCTTTCTAGACATGGTCTTCCCTCTAAAGATAATAATAATAACAACTACCACTACTATTCTAAGTCGCTACATTTGATTCTCCATTACTCTTCCTCCCACGCCTTCTCTAACTACTGGAATATGAAGTCCTTGCCGTGTGTCAGTCATTCTGCCTTACGATCTCACATATGATTTTTCTATTTAGCTTCTACAATTTTGTAGGGTAGATATTGATAATAGAGTTGTAGTGAAGCTACACAGATTGTTGAAGATCATCAGTTAAAGAGTGGCCTACTTAGGATTTGAACGCACATCTGCCTAACTCCAAAACCTGCTCTCTCTCCCTTGATATGTTTTAATTTTTTGAGTGGGCGGGTGAAATTGCTTCCACCCCACTCTTCTCTATAATTGACTTCCCACAAGCATACTGTCAGTACAGTAGCAAAAGCAACCTGCAATGTATTTAAGAGCTTACGGGAAATTTAAATGATATCATACCTAAGCAATTTAAAGACATATTACAGTCCACCTTTGAGTGGTGGGGCTCTGGGCACAGGTAAAACTTGTTTTATGATGTCAGGCACATGAGATCAGACTCCAGAGGAGGTCAGAGAATGAAACTGTACTTTCCCCTTTTCCATGGTGTGGGTTTCTGTGTAATCAATCAGACCAAGCTTACTATTTAATTGATAAAGATGGTACAGGCATTCTTGCTTCTGATTGCTCTACCTGAGCTTTACACTGTGGTATAAAAAGGTGAAATGCTATTTCTGGTCAACCACACCAACTACTGAAAATCTCTTAGATCATGTCAGAGTACAAGGAAATATTGACTAAAGTTGGCATCTTCCAAACCTTGAGAGTCAACATGATGGTATTATGGGCAACAGAGGTTATTTGCATTACTATTGGGTGCCACTTTGACTCTTTCTGCTGTATCTCTCAGTAAGGGTCTGGGTGTGTCATCATGCATGGCAGAAGGCTGAGCTTAAGGGCTCACAGATGGGGACAGTAAGTGGCATGGTGGTTAAGTTGCTGGACTCCCACATAGATCACTGTAATTTGCGTCCTGGAGCTGGTAGATTGAAACTCACACTAGGCACATATGTGTGTGTGCCCAAAGTTCCAGGAGGAGAAGGGAGGAGGAGGTACTGTAGTGTGGCCATCCCCCCTGGGTGGGGAATTTCTCACTGTTCTTCTCATTGTCTCTCTCTGTCTCCCCAGTGAGTGCATGAGACCTCTGGCAAAAACCTTCATAAAAGACATGTTCACACATACTCTGAAATATTTTGAACAAGAGTCAAGTTTTCATAAACTTTTTTTTATAAAGAAAGAAATAGCAAATAAGAGCTGTATTTTGTGGCCCATGGTGAAATTCACATCTTTTTTATTCACATATTTGTATTTATGAGTGAAGCGCTTTGTGCCTTTCATTAAACATGGTCTTTTGATTTTAGAAAATGTGATTTTCAATTTTATGTGGGTGGGAGGAGACTGTAGAGTTAGAGGAGAGTGTGTCTTATTAGAATTGCCTGGGAAGCATCTTCAAAATAGACCATACCTTCCCCTTTCTTTTGGGTAGTGCTATGAATGTATCTGTACAAAATCATGTGCCGGGTTGTGATGGGACCAAGATGAGAAGTTAATCCAATTATGGTGTTGAAAGATGAGGACTTTGGGAGGCGATTAGGATTAGATAAGGTCATCAGGGTAGGGTTCCCATGATTAAGTCCTGGTGGGTTTGTCAGAGAAGAGGATGAGACAGGGGCGTAGTGACACAGACACACAAACGTTTGCCATGTGATGACCTGCACTGCCTTGAGACTCTAAAGAGAGTCTGTGCTAACAAGGACATCCTCACTAGATGTGGTCTCTTGACCTAGAGCCTTTAAAACCATGAATGAAATAATCCTCTACTTTTTATAAATTACTAAGACTCAGTTATTCAGTTGTCAGCAGCAACAACAATGAAGTAGACTAAAAGGGAGTAGGGGGTGGTGGAACCATTTCTTCAGTTGAGAATAATTACTTATAATGAACTGATACTACGTATGGGAGTGTTTGGGACAGCCATTAGATGTGTTGAGGTAGAGGAAAAATGGAAACATATTATTCTAACTTTTATATTCCTAAAGATAATATTGGCCAAGGGCTAAAACATAGTTGTTAATTTTTTTGGAGAGGTTTTTGCTATAGGGTGCATGAGCTCGCCAGAAAGACAGAGAGACAGAAAGCAATAAATCACCCCCTTCTCCAGAGAGGAATGGCCACACCACAATCCCTTCTCCTCCATTCTCCTCTCGGAATCTTGGGCAAGAACACACAGGTGCCTGGTGTGAGTTTAAGCCACCAGATCCGGGACTCGAACAGTGGTCAACTATGTGGGAGTCCAGCATCATAGTCATTATGCCAACTGCTGGTCCCCAACATAGTTGTTATTAAATAAATGCTCATTAATACATACTAAACATGGAGCTCAAGAAATATCTTGTTTTTGGAAAGTCTACAGCATATCATTGCATTCTTCAGTAAGTTCCATTGGGCTGGGGTTTTCAGGTGGACATAAAAGTCAACAGATGCTACTAAACACAGAATTGATGAGACTCTGAGCCAAGCAGATCTTATCAAGATCAAGGTGACAATGTATAGCATAATCTTAGTGAGGAGGTCAGCCTGGCACCTGGAAGTCTAGTAGCGTTGGAGCTCCCAGACATAATGGTTTGGCATGGACCTTGCTGTCTTGAGATGTGCATGAACAAGCAGAAGCAGCAAGACAGGAAGAGCACTGTGGACATTGAGGCTGACCGGCAGATTGGTAGACATATGAGGCTTCGTACTGGAGAGTCCCAGAAATCAGGGGGACAAGTCAGGTGGGGTGCCACTGTCATGAAGGTGGACATCATCAAAGCAGAAGCTACTTTGGTTACATAAATACATGGCATTCCAAGTAACACTTAATGACTAGTGGAGGGTGTTTCTTTCCATCAAGAATGTTTGATACAAAAGTCTTGTGCTTTGTGCTGGGTGTGTATGTGTGTGTGTGTCCAAAATCCTGAGAAAAGAATGGAAGAGAAGAAATAGTGGTGTGGCCATCCCCCCGGGGGGTGTTTTCTCCCTTTCTGTCTATCTCTGTCTCTCCAGTGAGTATTCACAATCCATAGAAAAAAATTTCTCTCTTAAAAAAAAAAAAAGCCTTGTACTTTGAACAATCCCAACCCAACACCACCAGTGGTCAGAGCTTCCGTTGACCTCCTCTGCACACTCAAGTCTGAGTGATTGGCTATGGTAATTGAGCTTCTCCTGCCATGTGGCTGCCTAATTCTTTCTGCCAGAAATTTTTACTGAAAGGCTCTTCTTGGTCTCTGCTCTTAGATAGTTCCTTTACTAGAACCATTCAACCTGGAACCAGCAGGTGGTGTGGTACTGAGGTACTGGACTACCACATGTCCAACTGCAGTTCTAGTCCTGAACCCGGTGTCTTGCTTTCTTATTTTCTCTTTCTCTTTCTTTTTCTGTCTCTCTCTGGTGAGCACATGTGTCCTATGGTCAGTTTGAAAAAAAGAAAGAAAATGAAGATCCATTCAACCCTCCTCTTAAACAGTATCTCCTGTGGTTGGCTCCTCCACTCTCATTTCCTGTTCCTTGGGGTAGTCTCCCTACTCACATGGTATTTCTATCCTACTGAGGAGCTTATTTTAATCTGTTGAGACATGGAAGGAGGGTAGGGAGGGAGAAGGAGTTGACAGATAGCTTTGCCACCAGCTCACATTCTAAGAGGGCAAGTTACAACCTTTCCAGGCTTCCTTCCATTTTATAATCTGTACCCCGAGGATCAGAATGTTGAGTTACCACCCAGAGACATAGTGAAGATATGCTGTCAAAAGCAAATAAAGCCTTTCTGAGGTGTGGAGGTTGTGCTCAGGTCAGGCAATCCATGCAGTCTTTCAGTCATGTGGGTCGTGAACCCAAGGTAGGCAGAGTTGCCGTGCCAGGGGAGGTGGGGGCTCCACTGGGGATAGGAACAGACATTGGTTTTAGAACCAATGCATGTTTCATGAAGGTTACTAGGATGTCCTGACAGGCAAGAAAAAGGCTGAAGATCCAACATTCATCCCACAACATCTGAATCTGCATGGTGAAAGAAAAACTATGTGGACTTAACTTCGATAAGAGAAGGGTTAAAATCATGGTTTCAACACTAGCTTTGGGCATGTTAGCTTTTTCAGACTCCCTTTCTTTGTTGGTAAAATGGAGCTATAACAAAATCTATCACAAAAGCTTGTTGTGGGGATAAAAATGACAACCGACTTAAAACGGCCAACACAAAGTTGTGAATGAATTACTTTTTGTTCTGACTTGTTTGTTAGCTTATCCTGAACATTTTCAAACAAAGAATTGAAGAATCAAAATATCCAATAAAGAAATTAAATCTAAATTCTTCTATGGTTCTTAGGTTGATGATTAGGTTTTCATGCTCTGGTGTGAGATATGCCTTCATCAAACCTTGTTATCACTTTGACACATTATCCATCTAACATGGAAAAAATAGAGGGAATAGAACTATCTTAGGAATACACAAGCCACTGAAATCTGAGTGAGTGAAGAAGTAATAGGAAAAGCTATAGCTCCTAATCTTAAAAAAATTATAATTTTTGCTCAGAGATACCAATGGAGATTAATGAAAATATTTATGAAAGAAAGCAGTAAAACCTAAGTTTGGAACATATGTTTCGGTAAGATATAAGGGAATGGATAAATGAATCATACCTGGGGTTCAAATACTCTGTTGAAATAGCACCAGAAGGGATTTAAGAACTTATGGAAACAACTATTCATCATAAATGCTTTTTTGAACAATTGCCAGAGGGAGCATGTGCTCACAGGTATGTGTGTTGGGGGAGGCCCCCCTCCCCTGAGCATGGTTGCACTGCAATCTCTTCTATATTTCTTCCTCCTTTTGAGATTTTGGGCACACACCATATCACCTGTGTTTCTCAAGCACCTGGGTCTAGGACTCAAACCACATGGGGAGCCATGTGGGATCCAGCTGCCTTAACCACATCATAGGCTGGCCCCATTATAAAGGCTTTTAACCCTTGAAGTGGGTTATCAAAAAGTAAAGGAAATTCTTCCACATAGGTTTCTAAGAACAGGACAGACCAAGCTCAATGGTGCTATAAAAACAGTCTTGCCTGCAGCAGGGGTGAGCTTGAAGAAAGAAGGAGGGTTGCTTAAAATCTAAGACTTCTTGTGGATGACATTCTGGATTTATACGATGCTTGAAAAACAACAGAGATTCTGAAGTCATATGGACATGGGTTTGGATATGTGTTTTAGTTTTAGTTGCCCCCAATTTAAAATATGATTCTTGTGGCTATTAAATAGCACAGCAGGTCCAGCAGCGGTGGTGTAGGTAAGGTGGCTGGATCCCACATGGACAGCTACATGGTTCGAGCGCTGGACTTGGCAGCTTGAAAAACAAGCTGGGAGCATGTGTATATGTGCCCAAAATTCCTGAAAGAGGGAGAAATGGAGAAGAAGGGATTGTGGCATGGCCGTTCCCCATATGAGTGCTTTTGTACTTTCTCTTTCTCTCTGTCTCTCTCCAGCAAGTGCACAAGCCCTCTGGCAAATTAAAAAATAAGTATAACATATCAAAAATGATTATCACAAGATCAGGCATGTAACTGGACATCAAAAAACTGTTAGTTCTTGTCCTGGTTTTAAAATCATGTTTAAAAGCCAAATAAAGCAATTGCTTCTTTTTCTTCTTCTTCTTTTTTTTTTTGGAGAGATTTTTGCTATAGGGTGTGTGCGCTCGCCAGAAAGACAGAGAGAGACAGAGAGACAGAAAGTGAGAAATCACCCCCCAGAGGGGATGGTCATGCCACAATCCCTTCTCCTCCATTCTCTTCTCAGGATCTTGGGCACACACACACACACACACACACGCACACACGCCTGGCTTGAGTTTAAGTCATCAAGTCTGGGACTTGAACCATGGTCAACAACATGGGAATCCAGCGAAATAGCCGTTACAACAACTGCTGGTCCCAGCAATTGCTTCTTAAAAAAAAAAAAAAGAAATTCCCCAATATATATGATTCTCTTTTCTTCTTTCTCTTAGTTATTTGTTGACAAAAATGAATGTTTGTTTCATTTAAGAGTTAAATATATCTCCAGAATGCAATATACCAAAATTGACCTTTTAAAAAAATACAGTACCACCCACGCCCTTAGACTGTGAAAACCTATTTTGCTTCATGATAACATTTTAGGTCTAAGTGAGACCTATTATTTAATCATGTAGTTTTATGCCTGTTAAATGCCTGTGAAAATTCAGCATCCTCTCTATATGCAAACAACAAGCAGACAGAGACAGAACTGAAGAAAGTAATTCAATTTACCATAACCACAAGAACATAAACTACTTAGGAATAAAACTAACCAAGGAAGTCAAAGACCTCTACAAGGAAAACGATGAAAACCTAAAAAAGGAAATTGAGGGAACCAGCAGTTAGCATAATAGCTATGTCGCTGGACTCCCACGTAGTCGACCGCGGTTCGTGTCCCGGACCCGGTGGCTTAAAACTCACGCCGGGCGCGTGTGTGGGCGTGCTCAAGATCCCAAGAGGAGAACGGAGGAGAAGGGATTGCGGCGTGACCATCCCCCCTGGGGGGGTGATTTCTCGCTTTCTGTCTCTATGTCTCTCTCTGTCTGTCTGGCGAGCACACGCGCCCTACAGTGAAAATCTCTCAAAAAAAAAAAAAAAGGAAATTGAAAAGGACACTAAAAAGTGGAAGGACATCCAATGTTCCTGGATTGGCAGAATCAATATAATCAAAATGGCAATCCTACTCAAATTAATTTACATGTTGAATACAATCCCTATAAAATTACAAGAGATATTCTTCACAGATCTAGGAAAAAAATCATAGAATTTGTCTAGAACCATAAAAGACCCCATTTTGCTAAAGCCATCTTGTGTAAGAAGTCTGGAGTAGGTGGTATTTCACTTCCTGACCCCAAAATATCTTATGAAGCTGTGATAATCAAAACAGCATGGTATTAGCACAAAAACAGACATTAGGACCAATGGAACAGAGTAGAGAATGCAGAAATTAACCCCAAAACATACAGCCAACTCATCTTGGACAAAGGGTACCAGTCAATCCAGTGGGAAAAGGGAAACTTCTTTAGTAAATGGTGCTGGATAAACTGGGTATCCACCTGCAGAAAGATGAATCAGAACCCCTATCTGTCACCATTAACAAAAATCAAATCAAAGTAGATCAAAGATCTAAACCTAAGACAGCAAACAATAAAACTACTGGTGAAAAACACTGGGGAAACTCTGGGAGACATTGGGATAGGCAAAGACTTAAGCAAGACCCCCAAAGCACAGACAATAATCCTAAATAGACAGGTGGGATTACATCATATTAAGGAGTTTCTGCACAGCAAAGGACACAATAATTAGTGTGAATTGATAACCCTTGGAATGGGAAAGAATTTTTGTTAACTAACTCACATAAGGGATTGATAACCAGAATACAAAGGGAACTCAAGCAGCTTACCCAGAAGAAAATGATTAATCCAATTAAAGGATGGGAAAATGAGCTGAATAAACAACTCTCTAAGGAAGACATATGAACAACCAGAAAGCATATGAAAAAATGCTCAACATCCCTCATTATAGGGGAGATGCAGATCAAAACCACAATGAAATACCACCTAACCCCAGTCAGAATGACGAAGATTAAAAATACAAATAATAAGTGCTGGAGAGGATGTGGTGAAAGGAGGACACTCCTACACTGTTGGTGGGAATGTAAATTAGTCCAGCCACTGTGGAGAACACTATGGAAGTTCCTCAAAGACCTTCAAATAGAACTACCATATGATCCAGCAATTGAAGCAAGTCAGGCTATGAAAGAGAAACATTGTATGTCTCCCCTTAACATACACGGACTGTCTGCACTCTATGGTAGATACTGAAAGACTCGAGAACATAAAAGCATTAAAAATTGTAATGGACACTAGAGACAAAGTGGAAAGAGAGTGTGGGAGGGGAAGGGTGTGGGAAAGGAACTTTGGGGGGAAAATAGAGAGATAAGACACTTGTGGGACACAGATAAGGTTTTTATCTGTTGACGAGGATATGTATAATAGTCTCAACTGGGCTAGACTAAGGTGTATATCATGCTGGGTAAAGTCTCTCTTCACAATCTAAATGGTGTACAGTGATTTAATGTATGAATAATAATTAAAAATTAATAATAAAAAAAGAAAATTCAGCATTCTCCCAGGACTAGGCCCCCTTGTGTTTTCTTATTAAGAGGAAGGGGTGATACAACATGATCTGTGGTTTCCTTATGAGGTCTCCTCACGTAAAGGAATCTCATCCTCTCAACCCATCTCTTCAAAACATAAGAAACAGCTTCATTGTACTGAGTATTGATGAGAAGAGTACTAAAAAGGGTGAAGGTTTCAGGTGGAATTGTAACCAGGAATGAATTTAGTGGGGTGGCTGGATGCAGCCTCACAGGACTCTTCTGTGTTGAGAAAAAAAGGAAGGGGGGTCACTCTCCTATTAAATAAAAAAAGTCAAAGGGGGGGGTATAGTTTAGAAATGAGTGGTGAAGAGAGACTATACCAAGCTGTATGTGAAGGAAAAGTAGGACTGAGATGAATTGTAGCATTTCCAACTTTCACCTGTTGTTAGCATTTAGAGCTGAGCAAAGGGGGCCCAGAGGGTGAAGTGATTGGCCAAGGGTATCTAGCTATTTAGTGAGGAACCCTAAGCTGGAAATCCAGTCTTCTACAACCTACTTCAGATCATCACACTCTGCATTTAAGCATATGTAGTTTATTTGGGTTTGGAGATTGTAAAGCAAAATTCTGCATCCTGGCAGAGTGGGCTAGAGCTGCCTTTCCCTCTTCTGGTCAGTCTAGGTGATTTTCTTGGTTTGGGTTTTAAGGTTACAACTGCATCAGTATCTTTTTGTTTTTAATTTGCTATAGGATGTGTGTACTCGCCAGAAAGAACTGGGGTGGTGTGGGGGAGGGGAGAGGAGAACGAAAAAACACCACCTCCCCTCTTCCCTCCCCCCACGTCCCTGGGAGGATAGCCATACTGCAATCCTTTCTCCTCCATTTTCTTGAGATTTTGGATATGCACAGTGTGTTTTCCAAACTGCTAGGTCTGAGACTTGAACCGTATAGTAGACCATGGAGGATCCAGCCACCTCAACCACCACACCACTGGCTGACCCTTTAAAATTTTTAAAAAGTTTTTGCCAGAGGGTTTATACACTTGCCAGAGGGAAAAAGAGAGACAGAGGGAAAGGTAGAGGCTGAGAAAACACCCTCCCAATGAAATGTCACACAGTAATCCCTTCTCCTCCACTTCTCCATCCTGCCAGGATCTAGGGTACCCATGCACATGCACCCAGTGTGTTTTTCAAACCTCTGCAGCCTGGATTCAAACTGCACCGTCAGCCATGTGGGATCTGACTCTCTCCCCAGCCATGGGG